ACGTCGGTGCTCAGCATTCCCCGCTCCACCGGGAACACCTTCGCCGAGGCCGTCTGGCTCGAGGGGCGTCGGCGCGCCTCCTCGGAGATGCGGGCGCGTGGCGCCTCCTTGTCCAGAACCTCGGGCTCTGGCTGATGGCCCCGCGGCAGATCGATCGGGTCGTCGTCGGCGTCGTTGGCGGTGGCTCCCGACCCTTCTTGTCGGCGGCCGGTCCGCGGGCTGCTGCCGCGGCTGCGATGGGCCCCGCCAGACTCGGGGCGGCAGCGGATCTCGGCGTCGGCGGGGCGGGCGCCCCCGATTGCCTTTCGAACTCCGCGTTCTCCGCGACTCGCCGGCCGGCTCCTCCGGCTCGGGGGCGCTCGCCTGGGCCAGGCGGCCCGGCCTCCTGTCCTCCTCGTGTCCTCTTTTAAAGGCGCGGACGCGCGCGCTGGGCGCCGGGCCCGGGCGGCTCGCTCCCCGCGGCCACGCCCTCGCCCAGTCATCCTTCGCCGCGCGTTGTGCGCAGCGGTCATTTCTCTCCTCGCACCCCCCCCCTTCCCGTCCTCTTCCTCGCTTGTCGCAATCGATGCGCGCGTGCGTGGCGGCGTTTGCGTTTCGCGCGCTCGCCTGGGCAATGATTGTCACGGGTAGCTGTGCGCAGGTGCATTTTGATCACGGGGGGCGGGGTTTGTCCGCCCCTGCTGTCGCCAGCAGCGCGTTGTTGAACAGGTGCCTGGCGTTTCGCGGGCTTGTTTGCGGTGGGAGCTTCAGAGATTTATTATTCATTTGTTCAGGAAGTTGTTCGGCGCAAGTTCGCGGGTTCGTTGGTGGCCCAGCCTTTTGCGCATCTGCAAAAGACCGAGCCCGGCCCGCCCAGCGCCGCGGGCGTTTGCGGCCGCGCCTTCGGGGGCGCGCCCGGCGCGCGTCGGCGCGATGAGCAGCTGGGCCCTGGCGGCCCGTGCGCCCGCGACCGGTCGGCCTCGGCCGGCAGCTGGCGAGGAGGATCGCCTGCGCGCGGCGCGCCCGCCGCCCAGTCAAGCGCGGGCGGCCGCCAGCCGTCCCGCTTGGGCCGAGGGCGGGACCGGCGTGGCCGCGCAGGCGTACCGGGCCTGCTCGTGATCGCGGCTCGCGACCAGCGCGACGCATCCCTCGCGCTGCTCGGTGGCCAGGGAGTGGGCTCGCCCAGCTGGATTGGCGCCTCGGCGGTTCGGTGCTGGGGGGCGCTTCCGCGTCGCTGGCCGCGCGCCGAGCCCCGGGGGGGGGTTCGGGCAGGGGCGGCAGCGGCGGGCCGCGGGCGCGGCGGCGTGGTCGGCACAGCAGCGGGCCCCGCGGGCGACCGCGTCACCGAGGCGGCGGCTGCCGACCCGCGCGCAGCGCCGCCCCAGGCGCGCCGCGCGGTAAAAAGACAGGCGCGGCTGTGTAGCGGGGGCGGGCTTCCAGCGCCCCCGCGTGATCGTGCGCACACGACAGTTCGGCGTCTTCTGCGAGCAAGGGCACAGCGTCTCGCGCGGCTTGGTCTCGGCCTTTCTCAACGGCTGCGCGTGCCCGTCCTGGTTGTTGAGGACTTGGTCGGCGCTGCATTTGCACTCCTACGGCTCGGGCTCCGTCTCCGAGAGGTCGCGCGCGCGGCGATCTCAGGCGGGGGGGCGTTCCGCGCCGGCGCGCGCAGCAGCGCTGGCGGAATCAGCGGGCGCCTCGGCGCCCGGCGCAGCCGCGGCTACTGGCCAGTACCGGCCAGGCAGCGGTGCCCGCAAGCCCCAAGCAACCGCCCCGCTGCCTTGAGCAGGCGACGCGCCTGGGCGACCAACCCCAGATGCTGCCCCCGGCCCGGCCCGGGGTCGGCTAGCTGCATGGCCCAGCCCGACCAGGTCGTCTGCGTCTACGTGGTTGTAGGTGTTTAGGTGCAGGGCGTGCTCGCCCAGGTCCCTGCGCTGTGCCTCGCGACGCAGGTGGTGCCTCTTGGCAAGGGCCTCCTCCGGGTAGCGTCGGAGGCGTCCTGAAGTCGAGCCCCGGACCGTTGCGCAGTCGTAGATGAGGCCGCGGACGCTCGCTCTCGATCATCGGCTGACGCGCGCGGTCTGCCCTTCCACGACGAAGATGAGGCGGCGCGGGTGGCCGTTGGCCCCCCGGGCCTGCGCCTCGCTGCACCTCGCGGTGTCCACGGGGTGTGAGTCGCGAGGTTCCCGGCCCGACCGGCTCTGGCGGCGGCGGCGGCGGCGGGGGCGGCCCAGAGGGCGGCCCGGGGGGCGGGGGGCGGCGGCGGCGCCCGCGGCGCCCGAGGCGCGCTCGAACTGGGCTGATCAGGAGGGCGTCGACGGCGACGGCGAAATCCAGATAGACCCGACCTCCGATCGATGGGCGCAGGCGTCCCAGGGTCACCGTCGCCGAGGCCCGGGCGATCGGCGCGCGCTCCGTGAAAACGATCCCCAGGCTTGGCGGGGCGGGGTCCCGATGAGGCCTGCCGAGGGTCTGGCTGCGGCGGCTGCGCGGCCCAGTGGCTCCACGGCGTGGCGGCCCAGCGCTCGGCGGGGGAGGCCGCGGGCAGGGGCGGCCCTCCAGGCTGGCAGCCAGCCAAGGGCGGCCCCCAGTCTGGACGGGGTCGGCGGCGCTGGGCCGAAGGCCGGCGGCTCGCCCATCTTCTCGTAGCCGTCGTCCTCCGTGTCCTCGTCGTCGTCGTCGTCGTCGTCCTCGTCGTCCTCGGCGAAGATGTCCGGCGCGGTGCGGCGGTCTGGCTGGCTCGCGCCGAGGCGAAACTGGCCCGACTCTTAGTGGTGCCCGTAATATTCGTAGCGCGTGGCTTCCTCCAGCGATGCCTCTCCTGGCGCTCGGGGGCTCGGGCTGCGCGTCGTCGCCAGCTTCCGCCGCCAGCTTGACTATCCGAACGAGTTCAGCTCCTGACAGGACCGCGAGGCCCTCCGGCGTCGCGACCAGCGCAACAACGTCGTCGAGTTCGGCTGGCCCCCCGATGAGGCCAAGGAAGCCTGTGGCCGCCAGGTGGTCGAGGTCGTCGTGCGCACAGTCCCGCTCCTCAGCCTCCTTCTCGCGGGTGGCGGCGGGCGCGGGGGGGCGCCGGCGCCGGCGCCTGGGCGGCGCCTGCTGCGTGGCGGGGGTCCAGCAGCGCGGCCGGCCCGGCGGCCCATGCCGCGCCCGCGCCCCAGCGCAGGGCCGCGGTGTGCGCGGGGGCAACGAGCACGGCGGCGGCCTCCATGGCTAAGGCTACGGCACCTCGAGAAGGGGCCCCCCCCCCCTTTGCAGAGAAAGGGGGGTTCAGCGCGCTGCTGAGCTGATAAAAAACTTCAGCGCAAACCTCCTCTCCTGTGTCCGCGCCGAACTGCCAATGTGCAGTTCGCGCAGTATGTTCAGTTGCAGCCGCGTGGGCTTGCACAAAATTGCCTTGCCCAGTGTTTTTTTTCCTGGGCAGAATGAGCAAGGAGCGGCAGAGCCGCTTCGAACGCGGCGCCCATTCCCGCAGTTGGAGAGAGGCTGCGGTCTTGGAGATCTGGTCTCCCAGAAATCTGGGTAGCCTTATTCCTGCTCGGTGCACCAATGCAGTTGGCTTGGTCGGCGTCCCCAGGCGGGGCACAGCAATCCTCCTCCTCCTCCCCCTCCTCCTCCTCCTCCTCCTCCTCCTTTTCCTTCTCCTCCTCCTTCCCCCTCCTCCTCCTCCTCCACCATACTGGTTCCTGATATATACTTCCTGTCTGTCGCGCCCCGAAGCCAGTCGGATGGGCGGGCCGGGCGTTCCGCTAGATATTTCCTCACCATTAATGACGCTGCAATTGAAACATCGCAAGAGTTTCACCTATGAAGGGCGGGTGGTACTGTGGCTCTCGCCCCAGCGTGTCGCCCACTCGTCTTAAATATTTACAAGAGTTTCGCAGATGCAAAAAGAACAAAGGGCTTCACGGATTGAGGGCGAGTTGTTTTCAACATGGGGTTCCCGCATCAACGCCGCGTTCACTCGTCGTTGAATGCAGCAGCTTTACGGATTGAATTTCGCGTTCGATCTTGGACCCGTTGTTGGCGCGAAATATCCGGCTTGCACACCGATGACCGCCGAAGACCGCCGAAAACCGTGTTGGGCCGCCTCCCAGACCCCAGACCGCCGAAGACCGCCGACAGACAACCGAAAACCCCCGAAAACCGCCGAAACACCGCCGAAGACCGCCGAAAGTCCGCCGAAGACCGCCGAAAGTCCGCCGAAGGACCGCCGAAGACCGCTGAAAACCACCAAAATACCGCCGAAGCCCGCCGAAGACTGTGTCGGGCCCCGACGCCCGTGGCGGGGCGCGCGCCCGCTGGCGGTTTTCGGAGGTCGATCGGCCGTCTTCGGAGGCCAAGATGTGTGGCGAGGGGTCCATGGTCGAACGCGTAAAGTTGGGGGCCGCTCGTTTTCAACATGTGGTTCTTGCATCAGTGCCGCGCGCATTCGTTTAAACAAATGGCAAGGGACTTACGGATGGAGCGCGCGTCGTTTTCAGCATGAGACTCTCGCACCTGTGGCGCGCACATTCCTAAACAATTGCAGGAACTTCATGGATCCCCATCGCTAAATGTACCAGAGCTGGTGTTTTTTTGAGCGATTCACATATGTTTGGGCGCAACAGTTGCGTTCATTTGCAGTGTTTGAATTCCAGGAAGGATGCTTTGGCACAACTCAGGATCGTCCACACGCAACAATGAGGTTGATTAGTGGCGCTGAAGTTTTGAGAATGGTGCTTTGGCGCGCTTCAGGACCTTCATTGGTCTTCTAACATAGCACTCCCTTCAGTCGGAATGACTCCTTGTGGGGGCCTGTGAAGAGAGTTTAGGAGGCGGGTTTATTCATACATTGTTGATGAAACTTCGGTTTAGACTGGTCCTCCTTCTCCTCCTTCTCCTCCTCCTCCCCCTCCTTCTCCTCCTCCTCCTCCTCCTATTTTCTTCCTGGGAGGCAAACCGTTCCCGTTGTCCTCGTGCGGGCCAGCGAGCGCAGCCCGACCCCGCCAGCTTTCCTTGGGCGTGGCGCCCGCCCGCCGCAGGACGGGCACGAACTGAGGCCGTCCCCCGGCGCCTGCCGTCCGTTCCGGATGGGCATCCAGGACGCCGCAGCTCTGGGCCAGGGGATTCGTCTTTTCGGTAGCAAAAACCACGACGGAAGGTTTTTCCCTATTTCCGGCCTCTGGTGGCCCTCACTGGGCCTCGGGACCGTCAAAAAACGACCCGGGATGCAAAACTTGTCCGGGGAATGGGTTGAGACCTCAAGGGGTCGATGTCATGATAAATTCATGACGTCGGGGCTCAAGAGGCGGGGGGTCAATGCAAACGGGGGTCAGTCAGAGCGCCAGATTTTGGAGTATCCTGCAGGGCCAGGGTCGCTTTGACCTGGGTTAGGGTGTACTATCCTGCAGGATCTTGCAAAGTTTGACTGGCCCGGGTCTGGATTGATGCAGGTCAGTAGATTCCCGACAATTCATGGGATCTTTGTGTGTTTTCGTAATTCTGTCTTCGGAGTTTTCTCGGGTGCGCTAGCGTCTGGCAATCGATGAGAAAAAGCTGATGTAGCGTCGATTAGCGTCGATGTAGCGTCGATTGCATGGAAGGCTCCCATGCGTTGCCACATATGGCTCTCCGCACAGGAGGCTCTCCGCACAGGAGGCTCTCCGCCCTCCGCCCGCTTCTCGTCAGAGCTAATCCTCAGGGGCACCGTTAGAGGGGTGGTACAGGCTCATCCTGGGCGGAAGACGTGATTATCCGTATCCACGGCCTCGCGGGCTGACCCCTGGGCCGCGGCCCCGTGCATACGCGTCGTTTTGTGTGTAGACGTGCACATATCAAACGGCTCGGAGCAATTGTTGGGACGGGTCGCGTGTTTGGAGATCTTTTTTTGTTGCACCTTTCTCGTTGTGTTGTCCACCTCTGGCTGATAAGGAGATCGGGTGGGCTGGAATACGAAACTGGGTTATCCGATGCACGATTGCCACGTGCACGCGCGCAGCTGTCGGGTCCGACAAGCTCCTACAGCCCAGCAGTGGCTCGGGCGTCATCCCTCGATTTCCCCACCCGCCCGTTCGGTAGCAAATCATGGGAGCCTGGTCTAACCCTCGAATTTCGCCCTTAGCGTTGGTGATCGTCGATTAGCGCCTGGAAGTCCTTGAGATAGCGCCAATGCAGCTTCGGCTAGCGTCGATTAGCCTCGATTTAGCGTCGATGAGCGTCGATTTAGCGTCTACTAGTGTCGCTTCGCAAGAGCCGACTAGATGGTATGGGAGGCTCCTACGAGTTGCCACCCAACGCCCATTTCCCCTGGCGTAGATCAGGGGCTGGGCTTTGAGCCCGAGGCCCTCGCAGAAGGATGCCGCAGGTCCGCGCGGGCTCTCGCTTTCCGAAGGGCTGCCTCCAACAGCTGCGGCCCGTCTCCTCCCGGCTTCCTGAGCCGCAGGCGCCGCGGCCGCTTTTTCAGCGTCCGTTTCTGGCGGATGCCCGTGGAGACGTGAGTGGGCTCGCCGCTCTCCGCTCTCGTCAGAACCACGCCAGGGGCAATTGTCGGCCGACGACGGCGTCTGTGCACCACCACCGTGCCAGGCCAGGGCCATCCTGGGCCAGGATGGCGTATAGACCCTCCTGGCCTCGGCCAGGAGGGCCCTGGCTTGGCACGGTTGGTGGTGCATCGATGCCTTCTGCGTATTTCGGGGGGGGGGGGGGGGGGGGGCAGGCTCAGGGAGGGAGGCATCGACCCCCAGTGGCCTTCTTGATCGCCCAGGGGCGTGCACTTTCGCTGTCGGGGGCCCATCGCCGACCTGCCGACACTGTGTGTCCGCTCCCAGCTCGATTCTCGCCCCCCCCCGAGCCAGTCTCCCCCCTCGCGCTCCTCCTCACCGCGCCCCTCTCTCCCGCCCCCCCCCCCCCCCTCGGCTCCTTCGCTCCCTCGGCCGTAGGGTTGTATGTCTGTTTCGGCTCTGGAACGATCCCCTCCTCGAGATCCACCTCCTCCTCCTCCTCCTCCTCCTCCTCCTCCTCCTCCTCCTCCTCCTCCATCCCTTCTCCCCGAGGCGTGGTGCGGGCTGCGGGGTGCGGGGTATTTGGGGTCCTCAGTGGCAGGGTGCGCGTAGCGCCCCGCCCCGCACATGTCGGCGCACCCGTCGTACGACTCGTTGCCCTTTGGGTAGCTCCACCGCATGCCTCAGTGGCAAAGGCCGCATGGTGTCCCCCCGCCCACTTCGGCACGCCCCTCGCGCGAATCGTGGCTCCGACTGGAGCTCCACCGATGGCGCCAGTGGCAAAGTCTGTACGGCGTTCTCCCGCTTTTTGCGAAAGCCTTACAGCCAGTGCCTCCGACCCTGAGGGCAGGACCTCCACTGGGACCCCCGCTGGCGAACCCCCCCAGGACCTGCCTGGACCCCAGGGGCGGGTGGGCAGTATTCCGACCCGGACCCCCCCCGAGAAAAGGTAAACATCGGCGAAGTCGACCTCTCACCCGCCAACCGTGTCACCGTGTCTACACCAGCCACCCTCGCTCACCCACTCCGAAATTGCACCGTTCACCATCGGAATTGTGCTTTCACCGGCTGTCTGAGGGCGCGCTCCCGAGCTTCCGCAGAACCGCGTTCATGTTCCGCCAACGCTTCAACGGGGAACCCTTAAGGGCTCAAGTGAGGGAGCCTGCAGGATCAAGTAAGGCATCCTGCAGGATCCTGATGCATCCTCGAGGATCAAGTGAGGGATCCTGAAAGGTCAACTGAAGGGAACCCTCCTACCTCCTATCTCCCCTCCTCCTCGTCGTCCTCCTCCTCCTCCCACTCCTCCTCCTCCTCCTCCTCCTCTTCCTCCTCCTCCTCCTCCTCCTCTTCTTCCTCCTCCTCCTCCTCCCCTTCTTCCTCCTCCTCCTCCTTCTCCTTCTCCTCTCCTTATATCTCCTCCTTGTCCTCCTCAGAGCTTCTCCTACGTCCTCACCATCAATACCAACACCAACCGCGATGTATCGTCAACGTCGGCATGGATGAAATCGGGATCCACATTGAGCCGCGTGGCCGATGCATCGGCGATGCGGCGCGAGCCTCCGGTACCATCCACTCGGACCCCATTTGGGAGGGCTAGAGTGGAGCATAATTCCCAGCGTCTGGGTGCGCTCTTACCAGGATTTCGAGGCGAATCCAGGCGTGGCGGCGAGGGCCTCACAGGAGCCCCAGAACAGCGAAAACGAGGTGCAGCGGTATCGGTGTTTTTTCCTCCTCTGACGTTCTTTTTTGAGCGTTCGCGCTGGGGTCGCCGATGGTGGCAGTGGTGATGATGGTGATGATGGTGGTGATGATGACGATGATGCTGCTGCTGATGGTGATGATGATGATGATGGTGATGGTGATGGTGATGATGCTGATGCTGATGCTGCGGATGATGATTTTGCTGGTGCTGCTGAGTATGATTATGCTTTGCTGATGATGATGCTGATGATGTTGTTGCTGCTGCTGATGATGATAATGCTGATGCTGATGCTGATGATGATGCTGATGGTGCTGATGCTAATGCTAATGCAGAGGATGACGATGATGACGATGATGCTGATGCTGTTGCTGATGATGGTGATGATGATGACGATGATGGCAGGATGAGGATGATGGTGATGACGATTGGTGGGCCCCATCGGGATTTCCACGAAATGTGTGTTTCCGCACATGTCTGCACACACCTCACAAGCTTCGTGGCCTTGGTGGGAGCTCCACCGAAGGCCCCAGAGGCAAAGTCCGCATGGCGTCCCACCGTTCATTTCGGCGCACCCCTTGCGCTAATTGTGGCCCTCCAGAGAGCTCCATCGAAGGCCCCTGTGGCAGGGCCCGCATGGCCTCTCCCCGCCCATTTCGGCGCACCCCGGAAGGGACGGAGGAGGAAAAGGCCGAGAATGAGGAGGGGAGGAGGAGGAGGAGGAGGAGGAGGACGAGGAGGAGGAGGGCGAGGAGAAGGAGGAGGAGGACACAGCGCCCCTCGCGTCCATTGCTCTCTTTTCCCTGCCACTACTCTCATCGGGACACCCCTGACTCACACGTTTCATACACCCATCGGTAGCTCCAACTAAAAGCGTAATGCTACGGTTCGCATGGCGTCCTCGCGCACATTCTGACACCTAGGGAGCCCGCCGATTTCGGCACACCTCACGCGTTTTGTGGCCAATAGGGAGCTCCACGGAAGGCCCTGGCAGCAGTGTTCGCATAAGTGGTGTTCTTCCCGAACTGTCGGCACACTTCTCGCGCAGTTAGTGGCCTGACAGGCAGTCTCATCGAAGGCCTCAGCGGCTTGGTTACCATAGGGCCCCCACTCCCCACACGTACACATTTCGGCACACCCCTCACAAGTCTCATTCAGGAGCGAGAGAAGGACGTACACGTACGTGAATCCACGCTGGCTTCGAGAGTTCGCATTGCGCCGATGTTCGTATCACGCGGCCTGTCTCGCGGGTCAAGGGCTCGTGTTCATGTACATAGCTGGGCGCGTACGTCCTTTGTGGGCTCCCTACTCATGGCCTCATCCGGGGCTCCAGCGAAGGCCACAGTGGCAGGATTAACTCAGCGTTGTCCCGCTCATTTCCGCACACCTTTCGCGCGTGTCTTCGCCCCATAGGGAGGCCTTACAAAGGCCTCGCGGCAGGATTCGCGTAGCGTTCCTCTGCGCATTCTGCACACCTCTCACAGGTTTCGTTGCCTCATCGGGGTCTCCACCGAAGGCTCCAGTGGCAGGATTCGCATAGCGCCCCCACTCGCACGAGTCGTTGCCCCATAGGGAGCTCCACCGAATGCCGTGGCAGGGTTCGCATGGCGTCCGCCCGCCCATTTGGCATATCCCTTTGCAAATAGTTGGGTCTTCTGCCATGCTAATTATTTGATGGGTTTGGTGGCCTGTGTGTGTAGGTTCCAGGCCGTTAGAGGTGTTTCTGGTTAGTTCTAGGATAAGGAGCGACTGTGTGAAGCGTGGGGATACGGAGCGTAGGTGTGCATTCGCGGTCGTACTTATTTGCATTCTGAGTCTGCAGCCCCTGTAAGTGATAGTGTCGGAGTGGTGATATACTTTCAGTTGTTCTGTGCGCCTGGTCCAGAAGCACGCCTGATGGGCCTGACTACCAGCTTGTTTGTGTGTATGTGCGCGTCCCCAGATCCCTGCGCACCCTGCACTCGGGCCTCTTCTTGCTCCAGTGGAAGTCCAGCGTCTCCTCACGGCGATAATCGGTGATTTCTTTTCGTGGTTCTGACATGATTCACCTCTGGGTTCCGCCCTGAGAGACTCTCTCAAGCAGCGGCTGCTGCTTCTCGGTGCCCTGGCGCCATTCGCCCCCGCACGTGTCCCCCTGGGGCGCGCCTCTGCCAGACGCCGTCGCCGCCAGCCCCGCTGCTGATGTCCGCCACCCGCCACCGCCCCTTGGGAGCTTGGCCAACCAGCGCCCGTTTTGCGCCGCCGACCGCTGCTCCCCGCCGCTGCCCGCTGCCCGCTGCCCCCCTCCACTGTCTGCCCCGTGAGGGACCGGCGCCTCCTCTCCTGCACTTGCCAGCTTTCCAGGGTCGATCTTCGGTGGCCTTAGTTAGCCCGGCTTGGACTCTTTGGGCGCTCGAGCGGCTTTCGCCCTGGATGCGTGCGACCGTGTATGTATATTTGTGCGCTTGTGTATGAGTGATGCGTAGCTGCGTGCATGTGGGTGGGCGCCTTCACGACTACGTGCATGCTTGCTTGCGTCTGGGAAGGTGGTTTGTGGGCGGGAACGACGGCAGCTGGGTCAGTTGGCCGGCAGGTACGTGCGCGGGTGATGGTGTCGGGAGTGTGTGAGGCAGAGACCCATTTTATATAGGGCTGCAGCTTTGCCTCTTTGATTTCCGCATCGGCTTGAAGATGCCTTATATGTTTGCCTCGCCGTGACCGCGTCGAAGGACTTCTGCAAACACTTCACTGATGTGTTCGAGGTGCCGCTCTCTTTCGCCGTACTGCTTGCTTGCACTTTTGAGATCTTCAGAGTGTATCCCATTATACGTCTATGAATGCATTCTAGGTGTAAGCTAAGTGATGAGAACTACGTGATGCAAGCTATGTGGTGGAAGGAAGGGTCAACCTATGTGATGCAAGCTAAGTGTCGCAACTTCGACGGACCCTCCAAGCGCGGCGGGCGGCACCGAGGCGGCAACGGGCGGCGACGCGACGAACCCTCGACGGACCTCCCCCGAGTTGGCGGCACCTAGGCGGCAACGAGGCGGCGCTGGGCGGCGACGCGAGGCCTCGACGGACACCCCCACGCGGGCGGCAACGGGGCGGCAACGGGGCGGCCACGGGCGGCGACGCGGCGAGACCTTGACGGACTCCCCTCGGTGGGCGGCGACGGGGCGGCAACGAGGCGGGGACGCGGCGAGTCCTCAACGGACGCCCCCAAGCGGGTGGCAACGGGGCGGCAACGAGGAGGCAACGGGGCGGCGACGCGGCGAGATCTCGACGGACTCCCCCATGTGGGCGGCAACCAGGCGACAACGGGCGGCGACGCGGTGAAACCGAAACGGACACACCCAGATTCTCAGGAACGCCGGGACGAACCCCTCAGTGCAAGCGCTGTTGGGCAGAGTTGGGAATAACCAGTCGGGGGCTAATCTTATTTTATATGCACGCATATAGACGCGCGCCGTTGCATCTACATATATAGATGTATATATATGTATAGATATGCATCCGTGCATTCATGCGTAGAGAGAGAGAGAGAGAGAGAGACAGAGAGATAAGTAAAGAGAGAGAGAGAGAGAGAAAGAGAGAGAGACAGAGAATTGCGATCCAGCGTGAGTATCAGTGTGCTTTCCCACCTCCGTAGCCGTTCGGCTCAAGCCATCACCCGAGCTGTTCTGCCTCCAAGCAGTCAGTGCTGGCCGCAACACGTGCCCATACGAATGAACGTATCCGTGGTATCCCCGAGAGGGACGACAAGCCCAGTGAACGTGACAGCCGATCTCTCGGAGTCTGTCAAAGTCAAGCGTGTGGACAGTATCCCTGGCACGTTGAGCAAGGCGTCCAGTGTCGAGCAGATTACAACAAAGATCAGGCTGGTGAAGCCAGGGCCGTTGTCTGGTGTGCAGCGCGGGTTCTGGGTGGCCGTCTCAGTTTTCTTGCCGTTGCAGGTCATAACAAAGGATGAGATGTTTGCTGAGGATGTGCTCGACTTTCTGCATAGCGCATATTCGACGGTGTGGAGCTTGCGCCTTGCCAGAAGTATCAAGTGGGTAGGCGGTGAGAATCTTGCACGACTAATGGATTCAATCGGGGACGCCTACGGTGAGTCACCGCAGTCCCTGCGCCTTAAGGAAACGCCTGTATCGTGAAACGTCCGAAAGTGTTGCCACGCTTGTGGACTGCGTGTCCTCCCAGCTGTTAGGGAACCTTTTTGGGGAACACAGGGCAGGACCTCTCTTGGGAGTTATTTTGTGCTGGCTTGTGGCCAGTGCCGCCGATCCAGTGCGCTCCAGATACTGATGATGGTGATGCTGATGATGATGAGGTTTATGATGGCGATGATGATGACAATGATTTGTTTTGCCGTAGATCGGACAAGAACGTCCGCAGGAGGAGGGATGACTATGCACATGAACATGAATATGCTGATGCTGATGATGATGCTGATATTGCTGATTCTGATGATGCTGTTGCTGTTGATTGTGATGCTGATGATGCTGATGATGATGGTGGTGATGATGATGCTGATGATGCTGATGATGATGCTGATGATGATGATGCTGATGATGCTGATGATGAATGATGATGCTGATGCTGATGATGCTGATGATGATGCTGATGATGCTGACGATGATGCTGATGACGATGATGATGATGATGATGATGCTGATGATGATGATGATGATGATGATGATGATGATGATGATGATGATGCTGATGATGATGATGATGATGATGATGATGATGATGATGATGATGATGATGCTGATGATGATGATGATGATGATGATGATGATGATGCTGATGATGATTATTATTATTATGATGATGGTGATGCTGATTATGATGATGATTCTGATGATGTGTATCATGGTAATGGCCATGGGGCCATCCTGGGCGTCTTGGACCGATCGTTTGGTGATTCGGGCCTTTCTTGGGCCGTCTTGAGGGCCTCTTGGGGCCCTGTTGACCCGTCTCGGGCCTCTCTTGGGCTCGAACACGTCATGCGGAAACATTCTGGGGGCCCCAGGGCGCGCGGGGAGCCTCAAGAGATTCGAGAGCTTGGGATCCGGGCCCATAAAGAATCCTCAGGCTTGTGGACTGCGGCTCAGGGTATTGAGCAAGGGACCTGGGCAAGCCTCTTGGGGTTCGTTTTGGAGCCTTGGGGCCTCTTTCGGGCTTTGGGGGCCTTCTGGGGCCTCCTGGGGGCTTCTTTGGGGCCTGTGGCCCCCCCCTCCCCCGAGCACCAAATGCGTCGGGAATTGTCCCCCCCCCCTTCCAGAGCCTCCTGGGGGCTTCTTGGGGGCCTGTGGGCCCCCCCGCCCCCGAGCACCAAATGCGTCGGGAATGGCGTCCCACCCCCCCTTTGCAGATCGAAGCTTGAGCGAGCTCAAGTCCACGCTCTCAGAAACTCACACGCTGGCTTGCTCTTGGGGCCTTCCTGGGTCATCTTTGAGCTTTCTAGGGCCGTCTTAGGGCGTTCTTGGGCAAATAGACGCCTTTGAGGTACGTCTTGGGGCCCCTCTTGGGATCATTTTCGGCTGCCTTGGGACTCTCTTGTGCCCTCTTGGTGCTCTATCGGGCCATCTTGGCGTTTGGGCCCGTAGTGGGAATTATTTTTGGGGCTATTTGGGCCGTTGTGGGCAACTTGTCAGGACGCCGTCGTCGTCACCGTCGCCGTCGTCGTCGACATCGTCGGCGGACTCAAAGCCGACACCTCGCTTGTTGGCCCCGGGGGAACCTGGGCCGAGCACGACCTCGGAGGCCCCCCTGGGAAGGTCGTGCCCCGGCCCCGCTAGAGACCCACCTGGTCAGGACGTCGTCGCTGTCGTCACCGCCATGCCGTTGTCGTCAACAGCTTCATCCCGGGCAGCTACGACCCCTCGTTGGTTGCCCCCAGGGAGACCTGGGCCGAACGTATCTTCGGAGGCCTGGGCACGGGAGGCCGTGCCTCCAGCCCCGCCAGAGCCCTGCCGGTCAAGACGTCGCCGCCGCCGCCGTCGCCGTGGCCGTCCACATGTTCAGCGGATTTTGGGGCGACCCCTCGGCCAGTCGGCCCCCGGAGAGGCCTGGGCCAAGCTCGCCCTCCGAGCTCGCCCTCGGAGGCCCTGTTTGGGAAGGTCGCGCGTCTTGGAAGCCGTGGCTGGGTCGTGGACAAGAGGCCCCTCAGAGGCCTCGTCGGGTCTCGGGGGATGCCTCTTGGGGATTCTGGGGGCCTCCTTGGGGAGCCTCGTGCGCCTCTCGGGGTGGGTGGCTCCAAATGTCAGCGCGAGTTTCCCCTTTTGGGCCCATCTTGAAGCCGTCTTCGGAGCATCTTGGACCCCCTTGGGGGCCGGGGGGATCTGGGCGGCCGTGTGCTGGGCGTTCTTGGGCGCCTCTGAGGCCGTCTTCTGAAGACCGAAACGCCGACAGCGCCAATGTTTTTCAGCGATGTTGGCCTCTTCGGCCATCAGGGCCTTCAAGACGATCCTGAGGACGGCAATTGTTCGCACAACACGTGGGGAGAAATGGCAAAGCTTCACGTCGGAAAGTGAATGGTGGTCACAATTGGAGGATGGTTGCGTGCACCGTGCAAGCAAGCAACATCATGTTTTCGCTCGACTGAGGGAACGGCGCTCCGACGCCCACTCTCAGCCCCGCGCGCGGCTGCTCTCTCTCTGGCGAATTGGGAGTCGCCTCGCCTCGCCTCGTTCGGGCCATCTCAGGGCACGTGGAACGAGTGGGCCCTTGACCATGCACCCGAGGCCGTGGAAACGTCACGCGACGAGTCCGAGAAACATCCTGGAGTGCCCAAGGGCGGAGGGGAATCTGGGTCTGAAGCGTTCCACATTCGTTTCACATGTATGAATCACGGGAGGAGAATAACCCAAACGGGGCAATTGGCGTTTATTAAACGGCCTTGGACGTTTACCAAACAGCCCTGCCATGTTCGATTCCTTCTTTGGGCGCGTTTACTGAAGGCCTCGCGTGTCGGGGTGGTTATTGTCGGGGTGGATTTTCTGCCCTCTAATGAATATGGAGGGCCCCCAGGGCCTGAGGAAGCCCCACTCCGTGCCTACGGCACGGTGGCGGATTAAGCCAGCTGCCCAGGAGTTTTTTAGCCGTTCGATTGGGTACTTTATAGCGGATTTCTGCTATGTGCTCGTGCAATTAACACGGGGTCATGTGCCTCATCTTGCAGCTGGCCGGCTAGCGCACCACACGATTCAGTCCGCCGCTTGTTTTCCTGCCATCCTCGGTGGACCCATGCAGACCAGCTCGGCTTGTACGTACCTTTCAATCGCATATTTGGCTGAGATGAGCAACATGTTCCTGAGGATCAATAACCTCCTGAAGCGTTTTGGTGCAGAGAAGCACCCACTTTGGATGACAAATTTTCGGACGCTGCTCCTCACGTTTTTCCTGGGTCGCGTCATCAACTTCCCTTTTTGCACTGCCCTCATCTGGCGTCACCGACAGAACCTGCCGACTAGCGTCCGAAACCTCCAATTGGGTTTTGCAGTGGGTGGAATGGCCCTAAACATAGGCTGGTTTGGCAAGCTGGTGCAGATATACCTGAGGGTTTCACGAAAAAGATCAGCACCGATGGAGTTGCTTTGAAGTCAGAGTACGTGGTCGAAACAATAGGTTGGATTGATGTGTCATGATACCGACACGAATGTTGGGCGGCCGCTTCATAGAGTGATTGCAACGGCCTTACGGCCAGTGCCGCCGACCCTGTAGGAGCCCGTTTCTTTCTTGCTTGGGGCATGACGGG